TGAATCCGGCAAAATGGCAGGCTATTTGGGACCAAGGGTCACCTCCAAAACCACCTGTTTATGATTTTCCTCTTTTTTCTTTTCTTTTCCTTTTTTTTTTTTTTAGGATACACCCCACTGTATCTGATAGTCCTGTCAGCTGTCGGCTCACAGCAAGGTTTTGCTCTTGTACGGTGTGAATTGTATTGTGAAATCTCACCACGGAGAACACAAGCTAAAACCTACACTAGATTAGATTTAACCTACAATATATCTAATTTGGGCAAAACCAAAGCCTGCAACAGTATATGTTCAGTGTGGGTTCAGTTATGATTCAAGTAAAAACAGTTAATGAACTTCGATATGGTTTCATAGCTCTGTTCTGCACCACAGCAACAGCATATGTTCAGTTAAGATGCAAGTAAAAACAGTTAATGAAAAGAGGAACCATATTTTGCTAGACTTTCACTACTGACTCATATTTTGATTCATGTTCAATGAGCTTTCATCGACTTATGAGTCAGGCAATTATAGTAGTTCTTAAGACGGCAGGAGATTATTGTATACTGATAAAGCGATGTAGTTTGTAATCTTTGTAGTGACCAACATCTTTGTGAAACATGAACATATTACTTAAAGTAACTACATTCAGGTTCTGAGTCATTACACATTCAACTGCATACATTATCTTGAGGCCAGACATCCTACAGTAGACCTAGTACAAAATGAGATTAAACTTTTTAAATCTCTTTGTTTAATTACATGAAGTACAATAGTTGTATGTACTGTAGTACTATAGTCTGTATTATCTCTCTGTTACACTCTCTCTGTAATGTATTTTAAAATACATACATATGACCATTTAAACATTTACATGTAATATTTATAACATCTGTGATTACAGAAGTAAAAACGTCCTGCTGGTGCATTACCCAAATGACTTCCTCTTCATTTACAACATTTTCAGGAAACGGTCCTTATGTGGCACTGCTTTTGAGCTCTTTTGTTACAGAATTTCTGGAGCCAGCTGCAGCAGAGTCCGAGCAGTGCTATCGGAATGGCAAGGTATATAGCATTTGTAATCCAGAAAGCAAACTTATAGACGGTTCTCTCACAGTAGTCAGCAGACAGGCGAAAGTCGTAGTTTGGTTCATATGCCATGTATACAAAAACGCTACCTGGAATAGAAAGTGCATAAATTCAATTATAAACATGTACAGTTTATATAAAATAGTGAATTATGTGAAAGAAGTATAAAATATCCACATTCTTATCCACATTCACTTTTTCTACACATTTCTATGTTTTCAATCAAATATCTGCAAATTTTTATGCAGAGAAAAGTACCCTTATGTCGCCATTTTGGAAAGTACTGTAATGTCCACGTTTTTGAAAGCCAATATTGCTAGCTAGACTTCTCAAACTGAGTAACTTTACTTATTAGTTATTTCTATTGATTTATAATTGCATATTTACAATACTGGTGTTGAATTTTGGATTTTTGGTGGTATCTGTTCACTCTCTTCTACACTATTACTTTGTACCTTTGGCTTACTTCCACTCTTACCTGTCAAGAGCCAGATCAGACAAAAAATGAGAAGCAACATTTTAAGAATGTGGCACAGCAGAAAGGGTTGGCCATTTGATTGGCTGCAATAAAGATAGGGGAGGATCTGGATCATCAGACAGGCAATTCCTCCTACTAGCAGGTAGACAGGAACCATGGGCTGCTTTGGGCAGTCGTAAATGTGTTTTGCCCCTTTAAGAGAAAATGTGACAGTCAA